CTACTAGAGAGGCTGTTTTTATTAATGATTTCATACCCGCAGTGGCTTACACACTTCACTGGAAAAGATGGCAGAGGAAGAAGTTCAACAACCCCTACGACAGCAAGGCTCTTCCAATGGCGGAGCAGCACATGCAGAGGATCGTGACCACAGTGTTGTGATTGAGGCAGTTCAGTCACTCTAGAATACACAGAGGGAGATCTTGGCAACTTTGCAAACTCTTACTGAGGCTATTATGGCCATGGCTTCTAAACCAGCTCTAGTGCAAACACCTCCATCTATAGCAGTCCCAAACCCAGTGCCCAACTTGTTCCCTGAGGTTCGGGCTCCGATCCAGGTGCCTCTGGTGGTATCTCAAGCGATTGGTACAACCGCTGGTTCAGCTACCCAGGAGCAGAGTGGAACTTTCCAGCCCACTCACTTTGTTACTCTAGCCGATGTACAAGTTATTATCGAGCAAGAGCGCAGCAAGAAGCAACTGTCATCTCTCCTAGACCCTGATAGACAAGTGCAGCGGCATGGTTCACCGCTGCAGGTACACTTGCTGAGGTTCAAGCTGAGAAGGCAAGTGCAGAGGAAAACACTCCCGCTGCCACTGCACTTGCTGAGGCTCAAAAGAGAGTTGCAGCGCCAAACACTCCTGTCGCAACTACACTTGCTGAGGTTAAAAAAAAGGGTAGTTACGGAGGCAAACAGATAGTACACAGTACATGTAGAGGGACATATGGCACCTTTAGCCTGGTGGCTCAAGGCAGAATATTCTATGTGATCCTCTGGGACACATGTTTTCCCTCTATTTGGCCACTTGGTGTCCTCTTGGCACCAAGGAAAAGCCTATAAATAGGACCCATTTCCCAAGGTTCAACAAGAGGAATTTTGGGGATTTTGGGGAGATGCTGCCCATTTTGGCACTAACATTGTCTTCGTCTTGAGCCATTTTTTTCACCCTCACCCAGCTACACACTCTCTAACTCCCAGATAGTTGTTGCTATTCATTCTCAAGCCACTTCCACTATTAGTGGACCATTAGTATAGTTTTGCCTCTCTAACCACCTCTCTAACCTTGAACCCCCCTACATTTCTGGCGATCCTACTAGAGAGGCTGCTTTTGTTAATGGTTCATACCCGCAGTGGCTTACACACTTCACTGGAAAAGATAGCAGAGGAAGAAGTTCAATAACCCCCACGACAGCAAGGCTCTTCCAATGGCGGAGCAGCACATGCAAAGGACCGTGACCACAGTGTTGTGATTGAAGCAGTTCAGTCACTCTAGAATACACAGAGGGAGATCTTGGCAACTTTGCAAACTCTTACTGAGGCTATTATGGCCATGGCTTCTAAACCAGCTCAAGTGCAAACACCTCCATCTATAGCAGTCCCAAACCCAGTCCCAACTTGTTCCCTGAGGTCCGGGCTCCGATCCAGGTGCCTCTGGTGGTATCTCAGGCGATTGGTACAGCCCCTGGTTTAGCTACCCTGGAGCAGACTGGACCTTTCCAACCCACTCACTTTGTTACTCTAACCGATGTACAAGCTATGCTCGAGCAAGAGCGCAGCAAGAAGCAATTGCCATCTCTCCTAGACCCTGATGTGAAACCCCCATACTCTCAAGAGATATTGACCATGCCCTACTGAATTGGGTATACAATGCCCAAGTTTATTATGTTTGATGGAAAACAAGGCAATGCCAGAGAACATGTGGTGAGGTTTATTAAGACTCTTGGTGTCCATGGCAGTGACCACTCTATGCGCCTTCAGGAGTTCTCCAAATCACTCACCGAAAGGGCTTACAGTTGGTATGTGAACTTGGCACCAAAGTCGATCAAGAGTTGGGAGGAGATGGTGAACAAGTTCTACACGAAGTTCTTCCAAGTCCAAGAGAAAGCTACAACTCTCACACTTAGGTGGGATGTCCAAAAAGAAGGCGAAGATATACTGGACTATGTTAAGCGGTTTCAAGACAAGGCTATTGACTGTCATGAACCAGTGGATGAAGCTCACTTAGTCAACATATGTGTGGAGGGTGCCATACGCGGCTACAAAATTTTCTTGGTGAACCATAATCTCCCTACCTTTTCAGCCTTGGTGAAGGCAGCTATAAACCTCAGTACCACTGGTCCTTTACACAGATCACGGGATAGCCACCGCTACTCCCGCAGTAACAGAATTGCTGCGGTAACCTCTATAGGAGGGAACCGCTCGCAAGCAAAGGCCTTATCCTCTCGAAAGAGGAAGAGTTATGAGGACAGGAATCCATACCCTTGCAGTCTTTAGAATGTTAAGGCCTTGGTTAAGGAATGGGTTGCCGATGGTGAGCTCACTTTGCCTCCGATTGATGTTACTCCAACCAAGAAGGACAAAGATAGCCCGGATTATTGTGTCTATCACAGAACCACCAGATACCCCACTAGAGACTGCTGGATGTTGAAAAATGTCTTCAAGAAGAAAGTTGATGCGAACGAGCTAAAGTTCAAAGATGTCGGTAATCGTGATGTACGGAAGGACCCTTATCCTAACCACAAGGAGAAGGGGAAGAATGTACACATGATTGGCTATCTTGGGCCTGTGTGCGATCAAGTGCACATGGCGTCCTACTATGATGAGTTGGAAGAAATCGCAACTGGCCAGCTCCCTGAAACAGTATCTGCAGAGGCGAAATTTGCAGAGGATACTCATGCTCAAGCCTTACAAAATTCTGTTAAGTTTCGCACCTTCTTTGACCAATTGGGGCTGAGCTAAGCTGCCAAGATGGAAGCAACAAAGGCCCTCATCAACATCTCTGAAGTGCACCATGCTGAAGTTGCTGAGGCTAAGGAATATGTGCCTCGGTGCATCCAGGAAGATTATAGGGTCATTATTTTTTTAGAAGCAGACAGAGCATACCCATTTCCTCATAACTGTCCTCTTTTCGTCACAGCTTACATCAATAATTTGGAGTTCAAGCATGCTTTCCTCAATTGTAGGGCGTCCATAAACATCATTACGCTGACACCTTTGCAAAAGCTGGTATCTCAGAGTCCAGAATGGTTCGCCCACCCATTACTGTAACCGATTTTGGTGGGGAGAAAAAGGTTACTAAGGGCAATGTTGTAGCTGACTTAGCAGTTAGCGAGATTCGTTCTGCGACTAAATTCCATGTGATTGAAACAAATACGAATTATAACATGATACTTGGCAGAGCTTGGATGTACCGATACGGGGCTATCCCGTCCAGCTACCACCAATGTGTGAAGGCAAAGTTGGGAAAACGCACAGTTACCATAAACACGTCTGAAAAGCCATTCAAAGTGGAAGAGGCACACTATTCAGATGCAGTTTTCTTTACTGAGTTGTCAACGGATGAAACTTCAAGGACTGGTAAAATTGCAGGGGTAAAATTGCCGAAGTGGAAAGACATTCGAGATGCAGAGGTTGCTCCAGAAAGCAATGGACAAAAAAGGAGCAACAAATCCACAAGTCCTCCACGCAAGATTGTCAAGGTGCGCAAGGGCGGCAAGACAGTTTACTACCTATGACGGTCTTGGGGGCCATACTTCATACCTTGGGAGGATGGTCTCGAGACAAATAAATATGACGGTAATGAGTCCCAAGAAAGGTTGGTGGAGACACCTGAGCCCACCCCTAAATGCATGCAAGATAGGCCCAAACCCCAGCAGGAGGAACTTGCTGAGGTCAACCTCAATGACTCACCCGGGCAGAGCAAGTCGATGTTTTTCAGTAATATAATGGCCCCAGCAGCTAAGGCAGAATTGATAACATTACTAAAGCAATACAGTGATGTCTTTGCTTGGACATATGATGAGATGCCTGGTCTCGACCCATCCCTCGTCATTTATCATCTGGACACTTTTCCCAACTCTAAACCGATCAAACAGCACGCTCGAAAGTATCACATTAATCTTTAAGCAAAGATTAAGTAGAGGTAGAAAAGTTGCGGAGGACCAAGTTCATTGAGCCTATACAATACCCAACTTGGCTAGCAAATATTGTTCCTGTGCAGAAGAAGAATGGTCAGATTAGAGTCTACATAGACTTTCGCGACCTGAATAAGGCTTGCCCGAAAGATGAGTTTCGATTACCCCATGTTGATACCCTTGTTGATTTAACTGCGGGCCATCAGATGTTCTCTTTCATGGATGAATGTAGTGGTTATAACCAGATCAAAATGGCACCAAAAGATGTAGAAAAGACAACTTTCAGAATGCCCCTGGGAAATTTTTTCTAAACAGTAATGCCCTTCGGTTTGAAAAAAGCGAGGGTAACCTACCATCGGGCTATGACTGAAGTGTTCCATGACATGTTGCACCACGAAGTGGAAGTATATGTGGATGATTTGGTGGTCAAGTCTACTAAGGCTAACTGCCACCTTTGTGACTTGGAAAAGGTTTTTTAGCGCTGTCGCAAATTCTACCTTAAGATGAACCCTCTCAAGTGTACCTTTGGAGTTACTGTTGGCAAGTTCCTTGGCTTCCTGGTACACCAGCGGGGGATTGAAGTAGATGGGGACAAAGATGCCTTTGCCACACTCTCAAAAAGCTCTGAAGAAATTGCTAGGCAAAGTGTCATACCTCAGGAGGTTTATTCTAGCCCTTGCTGAGATAACCTTTCCCTTTGGGACACTGCTGAAAGGGAATCACAAGTTTGAATGGTTGCAGGAACACCAACAAGCATTCGATATGGTGAAGCAAGCACTTACCTCCCCGCTTACAATGATTGCCCCACAGCCTGAAAAGTCTCTACTACTGTACCTGACCTCTACTCTGTGGTCTATTGGAGCCCTACTTTTCAAAGACATAGATGGCATTGAGAAGCCAGTCTATTACATCAGTCGCAAATTCAATGGTGCCGAGTCCCAATATACCCCAATTGAAAGGCATTGCTTAGCCTTAATCTTCATAGCGCCAAAGTTGCGCCACTACTTTTTGGCACACGCAATCCAAGTTGTGACCCGGGGTGATCCCGTTCGCTACTTGCTGAGCAAGCCCACTCTGACTGGGTGAATGGCAAGATGGCTCTTAGCTCTAGCAGAATATGATATCACTTGTGTTACTCCCAAGGCTATTAAGAGCCAAGCACTTGTAGACTTACTGGCCCAGTTCCCATCTGGTGAACATGAACCTGTTGAGGTATCCCTACCAGGTAAAGTCCATGTATCAACAGCTGCAGTTGAAACTTATTGGGACTTAAAATTTGATGGAGCCTGTGGAGCTGGGAAAGGTGGAGCTGGCATAACTCTAACTAGTCAAGAATGAGAGAAGTTCCATCTATCATATAAGCTTGACTTTGAGTGTTAAAACAACGAGGCTGAATATGAAACATTGATACTAGGTCTGATAGCTGCCCAAAAGAAGGGCCTCCGCAATTTGAAAATCTAGGGCGGCTCCAAGTTAGTTGTCAAGAAAACGATGGGTGATTTCGCCTTGAAAGAGCCTCTGTTGGCCCCATATTGCACTGTAGTTCAAAGGTTGCTCACTCAGTTTGATGATGTCCAAATTCAGCATACCACTCGAACACATAACCGTTTTCCCGATGCCTTGGCTACACTGGGGCAAAGGTGGAGATACCAGATGATTGTATAACCATCGTCATCGAGAAAAGAACAACATTAGCAGTGCTAACTGAAGAACATGCAGAGGAAGATGCTGAGGGGTGGAAAGCAGATATAATCCAGCAGCTGAAAACTGGCCAGGGAGCAATCGGACCAGCATAACTTGCATCATTTCTGCTCCTCAAAGAAGAGCTATATTTTCGTGATCCCAACAACTTGCTGGCAAGGTGCATTGGTAGGCAAGAAGCAGCTTACAAACTTAAACAGATCCATGCTAAGTCCTGTGGAGATAAAGATATCAGTCTATACCGACAGATACAGAGGCAAGGGTACTACTGGCCAGAGATGGAAAAAGAGAGTACTGAGTTGCAGAGGCAATGCGCGAAGTGTTAGTCCCACCCTAAGGAAGAGAAAGCCCATTTCTTAAGCAATGAAGAATGGAGGCAGCCATATACCGACTATCTGGGAAATGGCACACTGCCTGAGAATAAAGCTGATGCAATCAGAGTCAAGAGGCGAGCCCTCCGCTTCTTGCTTGACCAGGGCAAGCTGTATGGGAGAAGCTTCGAGGGGGAACTTTTAACGTGTTTATTAAAAGATGAGGCAAACGAGGTGCTGAGGAAAGCACACAAGGCAGAGCATCAAGGAGGGCAGTGGTTATATAGGACATCTCATTCACCTCAGCTACTACTGGCCAACAATGGAAGAAGATGCTAAAAACTTTGTGAGGAGATGCTAGTCCTGTCAGAAGTATGGGAACTTGATAGATGCACCGACAGTTGAACTACACAACATTAAGACTCCTTATCCGTTCTATACTTGGGCATTTGACTTGGTAGGTCTTATAGCGCAGCAGTCCAAAGGCTACAGATGGATTCTTGCAGCAACTGAAGTTAGCACCAAGTGGGTAGAGACTATACCAATAAGGAAGGTAGATGGGGCAGGAGTAGCCAACTTCATCAGAGAGAACATAATCTGCATGTTTGGCATACCCAAAGTGACGTCGTCTGACAATGGAACTCCTTTTGTAAATCGCCATATGGGAAGACTACTGGATGCCTACCAAATTAAGCATCACAAGTCTAGTCTATACTATCCCCAAGGGAACGGACAAGCTGAGGCGACCAGCAAAACCCTCATCCGAATACTAAGTAAGATGATGGATGAAGTAGAAGGTACATGGTCTGAACAACTCCCCGTAGCACTTTAGGCGTATAGAACGTCAAAGAGGAAGCCAACTCAGGCAACCCCATTTTCCCTAGTATATGGGTTTGAAGCTATGTTACCAGTTGAGTTGGCAGTACCCTCAGCAAAAATGGCTATGTCAGTACACTTAGTTCCAGATAGCAGGAACAATTACATAGAGGCAGCTGAAGAAAAAAAAGATCGGACCTCACAGGCTATGGAAAAGTATCATCAATCCATAGCTCGCGCATACAATCAATCTGTTCAACACAGAAAATTCAAGGAAAGGGACTTAGTATGGAAAACAGTGGATGCGATCATGCGGGGGCAACCAATTCCCAAGTTCTCACCCAGATGGGAAGGGCCCTATAAAGTTGCTAAGGCAAACAGCAGCAGATACTACAAGTTGACAAAAGTAGATGATGGATTCAAAATTGGTCATGTTAACGCTAAATATGTCAAAGAATATTTTCCCTAGTTTCTTTTGTTCAAGAAAAGAGTTGTAAAGTTTCTTTGTTAAATGTTTCCAAAGCAAAGTGTAAAGAAAGTGTCATACGCTTAGTAAACCTTTTGCTCGCATATTCACTTAGTTTGAGTAACATTTTCCACACTTAATGAAATTTTACACTTGTAAAAAGCTTAGTCATGATAAAGTTTTGTTCACTTCAAGAGCTTGTCTTATCTTTAGAAGCTATGTAAAAGTAATGTAAAGGAAGCAATGAAATGAAACTCAAAAGTACTACCAAGCATCCATACTTTTCATTAAAGTCAAACTTCCAGAACATGATTACAATGTTTGAAAATAAGTTATGACAGAGAAAGAAAAAAAAAAAAGGCACACCAAGCGCGATGCAACAACAAAGTAAAATAAAGAAATCATAACAAAGTCACAAAGTTACATCAAATCAAACCCTTCAAGAGGGAGTCCATCAGAGTCACATCTTGAGGCAACTGGGCAACCAATGCAAAGTCCTTCTCTTTGAACCGAGCCAGGTTCTGCCAGTGCAGCTCCAGGGCACCCTCACACTCCTTAATAGTCTCCTCCAGGGACGCAATCATTGCCACATTGTCGGCGTGCTCGAGGAAGATGTCAACCGTCCGAAGCCTGGACCTCATCCATGATAGGTTAAAACCATTCCTCTCAAAGCCCCTCAAATTGGCCTCAGCACTCTCCGCGAACTTGCTAGAAGTTATCAAGATCTGCTTGGTAGCAAAGTCACGAATAAAGGTAGCAAGTGACTCCAGTAGTGCCGTCTGTACTATAGATCCAAGGACATTAAAGGCAGTAAAGGTGTCCGGATGCAGTGTTTGGATACGAGTAAGGGTTGAAGCAGCTTCGGAGGAAACCTAGTAACTTAGAAAGGATACTTTCTCTGAGGGCCGGGAGGACTCTCTCACACCACCGCCAGCTTCAATCACTGGAGAAAGACTGATGGAGCGACCAAATGTCTTAGGGCGGCGTACTTCCCCTGAAGATGACTGCCCCACAGCAATGGAGTGGCTAAACGCTGGTTGGCGACCGGGTGAACTGGCCTCACGAGAAAAGCCAAAACTGCCTGCACCGTTACATCACTCCGAAAAGAGGTCATCCATCTGATAATCTCCAACATTCAGATCTGGAACCACAGTGGTATCCATCCCAGTATAAAAATCACAGGACATTCCAAGATTAGATGGCACCTCTAGAAAATGAGTGGGGTACAAGTCTGCCAGCTGTTCAGAGGTTTTCAAAGCAACTGGATCAGAGGTCCCAGCAGCAATAGTAACAATGTGGGGGGCTAAAGTGAGAGCTACCTCGACAAGTTGGTCCAAGTTCAGAAGGGTTACAACAGGAGTAGTGGCAACTGCCCCTACACTTACACTCCTTTCAGTCACTTGAACGTTTGGAAATGGAGTTTGATGAATTAACGCAGACTCAGTAGATTGGGAGGAACCGCCAGATACAACTCCAAGAGGGGGTGGTGCAACTTCCATCGGCTCTCTAATGTCGTGATCTTCTCTAGGGGTCTCAGATACAAAATCATCTCCGCCAACAAAGAAACGGTCGGAGTGCACAGAGTCAGAAGGATGCGGAGGCTCAAAGCCCTCAGCAGCTATATCACCCGCTGCAACTTCGACAGCAGGGGAAACATGTACATTGTCTACAGGCTCCCCAACTGGCTCAACCTCGGCAACTGGCTCAGCTTCAACGGACGGTTCACATCTCACACTTGGTTCCTTTTCAACGTCTAGAAGAACTGTCGTGTGAGTCTTGAATCTTGTCACCCTGGTAGCAATGGAGAGGTCGTCATCGTCATCTGAGTCTAAAGAAATGCCAATGGCAATAGAAGAACCCTCTAGACCAGAGGGCAGTATGGTCCGCAGTCCCTAAAAAGAAGAAAAAGATCATGTAGTTATTATAGTAAACATAATAAGTACAAAGAAATGATACAAAATATTTGTCTGAGTATGGATACCTTTCGGAGCCTCTTCCTACTGGGTGAGGCATGTGCCTCGGGAGCCGATACCGCTGCTGCTTGGGCTGCCCTCAGCCTAGAACAGGTCATGCGTAACGGTGCACCTACTTCAGGGGGAGCAATCTGCAAAGATTGAACAAACATTGCCCCGGACGGGTGAGGCTCCTCTACAATGGGTAAGGATAGAAGCTTAAAGCGACAAAATATGCTGGATTGTTTCCCCCGGCCAGAAGACCGACGAAGGGATAGATCAGGTTGCAGGATAGGTTCCATTGCTGGGACGACCGGGGCACTATTGCAAGAATTGAAGAAGGAATTGAGATTGCGGTTCCAGAATAGCCTATTGTTAGAAGTACAGGCACCCTCTCGCCCAAATGAGGGAAGCTCCATGACTCCTAGGCCCTTCACAAGTAGAGCAGTGTAGTCACGGGTAAATCGTTGAAAACTCCAGTGGAAATCAGTCTAAGGCGGGGGAGCATGTGAGACGCCCTGATCCATCCCGAATTGCATAAGGACCCTATCCGGTCGGTAGATAACACTGGACATACCTTCTTCATTCCACACAGGTAGAAATTTGGGGCAAATCATGGCAGCAGTAAGTAGAGAATTAGCCTGGACACTCTCGAGAGAAAAATCAACATGGCGGGCCTCTGAAAAATAAAAGGGGACAACAGAAATGCCTGGGAGAGGCTGAGTGAAAGGGCGGAAGATGCACTCCTCCATATGGTCAACATAGTCTGAAAAGGGCCTGTTGGTGCCAAGGCTAGACCACCGAGAGATGCGAGGGAGGGATTGACACACTTACCTTGTGACAGGCCGATCCTCTATATCTAGGATAGGGTGGCCCTCTGCATCAAAGACTTCATCAGTAAAGAAGGGGCTCGTGTTCCTTTGGGATGGGGCCCATGGCATGAAACTTCTTATAGAAAAAGGCAGTGAGGAATTGGGTATGCACAAAACTCCACACGTCATAACGGCCCATGGATCGCCCCATGTCCGAATGGATGAGGTCAAGACGAAAATATAAGTTACCTAGGAAGATGGGAGCCAAGGGAATTTAATTATTGCTGCAAAGATTTATAGCTAAGGGAAATATCAAGGGATTAATGCTTTCGGCAGGGTTGCTGGGTAAGATGAAGAATGAGATAAAATAGCTGACGAACGCCGCCAAGTACAAGTCACCTCGGTAGCTCGGGCCAACTATGGAGTCACGGCTCTCCTCAGTAATGTCCCCTACAACTAGTTACATGTCCTTAAAGAAATGTTTCAGCCAAGAAAGATAGGTAGTTTTATCTCTTTTGGGCCTATCCTGGAGCAGTTCCCCAGTTCTAAGATCATACTAGGAACCAAACTTTTGCACCTCCCGAAAGACGGTTTGAAGAGCAGTAACAGCGACTTATTCTGCAGAGGTTAGAGACGCTAGGTCAAAGGGGTGATCTCCACGAGTGTTGAGGCGCAAGAGGACGACAACATCTTCCAAGGTCGGGGTTATCTCCCCCCATGCCAAGGCAAAATGATGGGTGTCACGACTCCAACGAGAGACAATCATATTAGTGTTGGTCTGCACCTTACGCACTGATAACTCTCTCGAGATTAAAATGGCATTGAAAAGGCGGACATCATGCAGACGTTGCTCAAAGCCGCCATCTGCAATGACATCATCGACCCAAAGGGACCAATCTGTTGGAGGGCTCGAATGAGTATGATAGTAGATGTAAGAATGTGGAAATTCGCCACGTTCCACACGAAACCACGACACAGAAACCGGGTTCACCATGTCCGCATCTTCCAAGGTGGCCTCCCCAAAAGGAAGCAAAGGCTCCTCTAGAGGAGGGGCGTCAGGAATAAAGAAATCAATCGCTTTCCAGAAGGGGTCGGCTAGCCCTCCGAAGTAAGGGGCCCGCCTTCACTCAGTAGGGGGTGGGGTAGCCCTGTCAGCAAGAAACCTTATGATGTCCATGAAAAGGAGTAAAGAAGGTCAAAAAGCTTTGGAAAGAGAGGATAAGGGAGAGAAGAAGACAAAGGAGACAGAAAAGTGTGTTGGGAGGAAGTGGGGGACCAGTGGACCCAAGGGCATTATTTATAAAGAAAATCAGCAAAGGGCGCTAGCACACTGCCCTAGGTCCATTATGACCTGGCAGTCAAAAAAGTACCTTTTCAGAGCTGACGCAACTTTTGACCCAACCGACGCAACCCTTGGGTTGCCTGCTGACATCATGCATGCGCGGGAAACAGGAGGCGTGTCTCCCACGTGTGCATGAGGGCAAAATGTAAAGGGTCAGAAATTAAGCCCCGAACTAAGTATGGACCCAAGCACTAAGATCACCCTGAGAAGGCGACCAGGGATAAAATAAAAAATAAAAAAAAATAGGCCAAAGCCCAAAGGAAGTGGGCCAACAAGTGGGCCGAGACAGGTCCGACCGACCAGGGCCCCAAATGGACTCAGCGAGGAGAAATGCCAGAGTCAAGCTACAGAGGCAACACCTGTAACGGTGAAGTTGCCGAGGGAACACATGCAGCAACAAAGTTGTTAAGGCACTTTGTCTTAGCGCCGCCATTCCTATTAACTTCGGTTTCACCGCCATTTGAAGTTGTCGAGGGAACAAGTATAGCGGCAAAGTTGCTGAGGCACTTTGTCTCAGCGCTACCATTCCTATTAACTTCGGTTCCGCCGCCATTTTGAAGTTGCCAAGGGAACATGTGCAGCGGCAGAGTTGCTGAGGCGCTTTGTCTCAACACCGCCATTCCAAGTAACTTCGGTGTCGCCGCCATCCCAAGTAATGTCGGTGTCACGATCATCCGAAGTTGCCGAGGAAAGGAGAAAACCAAGGCAACTGAGTTGCAAAGGCAATACTCGCAGCGCCCAAGTTGCGGAGGCATTCTGTCAACACCGCCATCTCTAATATCCTCAGTCATGCTGTCTGAACTTGCCGCGGGAAATGACTACCGCAGCAACTAAGTTGCAGAGGGAACATCCTGCCAAGGTGACAGTAGCCTTTGAGAGAGGCTTCCCCCTACAAGT